GACGATTTTTTTAACGCGACGGAGGGCGCTAGAGCCGTCTTTTGGACGACTATCAGACAGCGACCCTGTGACCCGGACCAGACGGTGTGCCGTGCCAAACACGCTCGGCCCGGCCGCCCAGACACGCCGCRCGCGCACCCCGTCACGCCACGCCGGACCCCGCGCGCGATTCTCTATTTCGGAACGATAAAAATGTTATGTACGCCGAGAGGCGCTGCTACTGTTGGCGGCGGCCACCCGCGTTCACATCACATACTTTTCCATACGACGGCGACCGACTGTATACACGCACATGTGCATAGGTATAACATCAAGTTTATATACATGGGATTACGTACGCACGATTTGCAGGCACGCACCCGCGGTGCGATGTCCTGTGCGGAATGYTGCACGGACGAAATGTCGACGGGCGATACGCGATGGTAGGGATGAGGGAGAGAACGAGATAACTAAAAATAGAAATATGTTCATGTAATTTTAGAGAAAAAAAAAATAGTCCTGCGATATACGTGAATTATTATAATCATCGTTTATACTATAGGTATGAGATGTATTACGTACGGAAGTGAAGAGGTTTTTGAACAGGCGGCGACAATGTTATTTCACAACAGCGCGCGATATGAACTAATACTGGTGCTCGGTGCTCGGTTGCAGGACGCCGACGACGTCGCGCGCCCGTAACAACGATGTCAGTGTGTCGCGGGCGTTTTCGTCGGTGTGTTACACCACACACACACACACACACACAAGCGCACGCCCGTGACGTAATTGCGTGGGATTCAGCGTGTACGCGCGCCGCCGACGCGAGTGGGAGTAAATAAAACAACCCTATGTCCTTCTGCTACTTGTCCGCCCGCCTGTTGGCGCAGATTATGACGTAAACGGACGTTATATATTGTAGTCGCGTACATCGTGGTTAGGATTCATTTCCGCATGTTGAACGAGAAGACGAGGAAACCGACGCAAAAATTGGTCAAAAAATATCACACGATCTCACCGGGGGCCACCGAGAGTACATCCGCTTCGTCGGTGTACGTATTATTATATAACATATTATGGTGTTCGATTGGAATTCGTTCGACAGGCCACACGCGCGCCGGCAACACGTTTTTTTTTTCGTAAGCAAAATGTACAAACACGGAAAACCCGTTATATCCGCACGACTACTCAGCTCGGCCGGCTCCACGGTACATCACACAATTGCCAATCGCTTCGTGTTTCAGCGGACACCCAACCATCTCTCCCCACTCCATCCGAACACCCCCAGTAAGCTGCGTTCGAAAAGACGACGACCTCGGCTAGCCCCTCCATTACACCGCCCCTCCATAGTGTTAGGGGTACCCGGATCTCTGGCAACGCTTTATACTGTGTGTTATACACACACATAATATTATACTAAATAAATTTCACCGTCAAATTTGTATTCTCCTCTATATGATTTTTACGAACGTAGGTCGTCGAAGGAGAATGGAAAAAAAACGATATTTTTTAGCCGTCCAGCTGTCTCGGTATGTGCATACTTCTTATATGTGTATAGTTTTTGATTATTATATGTTATGCGTTTTGGTGGCAGGCCAAAAGGCTGTTTTTTACAGCCACTGCGGTCTGTGCATAATATGAACTAATCGAGATTGCAAGGAGAGGAGTAGTGAGGAACAGAAGCGAACGCTACGGCCTTCCTCCACGTGCCAGTCGTTATATTATGATAATAAAAAGAATAGTAAATTTCGCTACACCTGTACACAGTATATGATACTAAATACACGCTGCAGCCATTTCCGTTTTACTTGGTCGTAAAAATTTGTTTTAAACCGTTTTTGCCACTCCCCGGCGCCCGTCCATCAGTGACGACGATGTATTATATTCGTATAAATACAATACAGGCATACACGCGTACGCATTAACGCACTAAACGCCAACRGTTGACCTATATTTTCCGAGCATTCGAAATCCGGCGGTGGCGGCCTGACGTAAACAACCGAGCACACRTCGTGTACAAATACATTACTATACTATCGCTACTACCTATATTATTCGTATACTCGATAGTCGAATATATATTATATAATTTATTGAAATTTACAAAATTTTGCTGTAAAACTCAACTTAGGTATGTTGTATATCTTTATATTGGTTTTTTTTTGCAATTGCAACTATGTTACCACAGCCGCCCCAAACTCAACAACGTGACGTTTGCATGTTCCTTCCGTTTCGGATAGAAGAAAAACTAACCGCAAATTACTTATTATACTACTAACTCCGTTGTGAAATCGACGCGCATAATATTTCCATTATATAATATTATTTTGCGTACCAATAGTTGCAACAGCGATGGCGGCGGTGCAAGGCACGCAACCTTCACCCACATAATATCGTTGTTGTTGTTGTTGTTGTTGTTGTTGTTGTTGAATGAGACGGATGACGACGACGGACTAACTATAGATTTAGGGTAATGTTGTTCGTTATATTTCAGGAACATGGCATAAATCGATAGATTAGTGAAAGGTCGGGTGGCGGTTTGCCGTGCGTTACAAGGGATGGTTGGTAGGGAAGTGCTACAGTTCGATGAATTCTGTGAATATCGTTACAAAACATGAACAGAAGTTTTTGAGAACGCGGAATATCGCTCGTACATTGATACGACAACAACACGACGGGGTTTGTTGAGAGTGTGTGTGGTGTTTGTGTATCTGACAAGGAATGAGTAGGTGRAATCAATACTATAGAGTTAAACAAGTAAAGACCTTATTCTTTGAAAAATCTCGTTTKAAAGGTGTTCGACTTCAAGGAATAGTATGGCCGAGTCGTTACACCTATTATAAATAATACATTAATCCAATTTCGAAGATTTTTCGTAAGTTATTATTACGTTATAGTATGGACACGTTCRTCAGTGGAATATCGCGCTACGACTAGGGCGTCGTATTTGAAAGCAAATCTATAAAAATGGCGCTCATATAAATACGATACACTTCAGTTGTATTATCTACACTCATACACAGAGGCGGTAGGCTGTTGTCGTATAAAACGTTCGTCTCGTAAATATTAATTTAAAAAAAAAAAAAAAAAACGGAATAAAAAAAAACCGTATCATTGTACGTCATGTATGTGTGACACTGGTATGCGGCTTGGGATAAAAAAAAAAATTAAAAAAAACAATAATAATCGTTATAATTCGGCGGCACCGAAAGCGCCAAGCGTGTGTGTGCGTATGCGCGTGAGTGTTGATTATGTATGTGTGAGTATTGTTTGTTATCGCGGGCGGCGRCGACGCATTTCATTCAAAACATTGACGCGATCGGAAACCACACGTACGCACACGTTGTTGTAGAGTGTACACAGTAGTGGTGTGTGTGCATCCGAATTGCGTCATTCAACAATTTGTGGCGCGTTATCTCTCGCGGGGATCCGACGGCAGCGTGTGACGTAACAAATGTAGTCTCGAACCGGACGCGCTTGCAAGTACCGACGCCACGCCACACGCGAGATAGCGGGGGTGTAGTACACCAACCAGCACACGGAATAAAGAACAGATTAAAAGTGAAATAATATAAAAAAAATAAAACCACTTGATTACGCCTATGACAAGAAAGCGGAAAGTATCCGCAAAARAATCGTAGTGACGATAACGAGACTAAATAATAATAATATGGACAAAATAACAGTAGAAATAGAAAACCGAAAGAAACAACGACGGCCTCAGAAAGTGCTCTTTTGACTGAATATTATAAATAATAATATTGTTCTCCGGATGTGCAAAGAACGACGGCCGCCGCAGAAGCACTGATGATGGTGGTGGCCGGTGGGGGTTAGTGGTGGTGGTGGTGGTGGCGACCTTGCCAACGCCCAAGGCAGTCTCGTCGACAGCAGAGCGATGTGTCGTCGTCGACGTTGTTGTTGTTCCGTTGTTTACGGTTTGTTTACAAGTCGACGAGGCCGACTTTCGCGGACGCGCGCGAGACACACATCCGTGTATTTATCACGTCGCCATTGGCGAATCGAAACAAATAAAGGGATTTCGTTCCTAGATATTCACCCTCTCCCCAAACGATGCCGTACACACGTGCTTTAGGTTAACAATAACAATTAGATATTGCATATTTTTTTTCGCCAATCCGTTTTCTCAAACTAGTTTGCACAATAACACCGTATAAAACTTGTATACGCCTAGCATCAAGGACACCGGCGGAGCACATACCTATCGGGAGTAGTTGTAGTCTGTTCCCCCTCACTGGGGCGAATGTCGGTGGCGGCTGTTAACCCTGTAACGACGACTCCGCCGCCACATGCAAGGACATATGGCGGCGGCGGAGTCAACGGCCCTGTTGGGGCGGCGGGGAGGCGGTTGAGGAGGAGGGCCACCGGGGTCGACGACAAGTTCAATGCCATCTTCACAGACGCGCGCGCGCGCGCGAGAGTTCCTTGTGTGGTTGTCTTGTGTATGGTAGTACTGTAGTAGTTGTACTCAATAATAGTATAGTAGTACACACACATTACCCGCGTTTTTTTCCCTCTCTTTCTTTAACAATAATAATAATATATATTTATGCGGTAATATACACGCCACGCCGCCGTCGACCGTGCGTGCACGCGCATGTTTGGTGAGTCTAACTCATTGAACACCGGTTTTTCCCACCGAAAATAGTTTGTCCGTATTTTTATCAACGACGGTGACGACGACGTAATAACAATAATAACAATAATATAATTATTAATATCGTACGCAAAAGCGTAAATTACGTACAAACGCGTCGTGTTATTTTTTCACGGCGGAACAGTAGTGAAAGCGTGCAATACGCCACCGCCAGGTGAAAGCAGGTGTAACACGTTGTCTGGGTAGTGATCATCGACGTCTCGCTCTCACACCTGGCCTAGGGATCTGTGGACTGCCGAGAAGAAAAACGTACTCTGCCACTATTGTTGTCGTCCGCCGACGCCGCCGCTTACTGCTTGGCGATCGAGACAGGGCGGCACGACATACGAGCACCGGGCCCGCCGTCTGCACCTGGCTAAACCGTCTGTGGCTGCTAGCGTACACGACTACGACGAGGACAGCAGCAGCAGCAACAACAACAACAACAACAATCGCTGGGCAAGAACGGCGATCCCCGCGCGCGTCGGGCACTCGAYGACACCCCCCACACCCTCAGCCATGGAACCAGACGATTTCCCCACTCACACCAGACGCTCATCCCCTCCCCACGAAGTAGTGTCATGTGACACTGATTCGCAGCGTAAAACGCAAAACCTCTCTCCGTCTGTTGTACGAAATAATAATAATATCTAATAATATCTCTCTCGGTCGTAGTCAAAACACGACCCATTTTTCCCGCTTCACCGTTATTTCGTAATGATAATGCCGATAATGACATCATTATTATTATTGACTATTATTATTGACTATAATCATTGTTATTATTATTTCTATTATCATTATTATTACTTATTATTCTTCGTCTCTGTATAATATTATATTCATGTTATGAAGAAAATAAAAATGATTTAAGGTAAAAAACTCAGAGACCCTGCAATTGTAGACGAATGAAAACACACGCGACGACTACCATATCGATGCGTGAAGGAAACCCCAGAGCCTGGAGTAGGTATAAGGTACATGCTATTATGTTACATCGGCAAAGTAAAAAAAACAGCGGTGGTCGCGTTTCTCGTTCCTTCGGTATGTGGGTCATTGTCCACGGTGGTAGGGGCGGCGGTACACATGCATCCACGCGCGCCGATCGTTATTCATAATTATTATTATTACTATTAGAATATTACACAACGCGCATTCCTTGCACGTTGTTGCACAAGATATAAACAATGATGGGTCCCCCCCGGAGCATGGGTTTTAGTATCCGTCACACGAGACATTAATACAAGTGTACGACACAGATGCGAATTTTTCGGAATCAATAAACCGCCCGCCCGCACGACCGTGTGACGGAAAGCACGCAAAGGCGGGAACTCGTAAGAGGGCCAGTAGGTCAAACCGCATCCCTCTGGAACGAACGATAAGACAAAAGTTTAATGCATTTTTTTTCACACAGTCTTCCTAGTCCGGACGAAATGAATTCGGAGATAATAAATAAATAATCGATATCGAGATGACCCGGAAAATTTTTGCGATTCTGAGGGTGAACCTACCGGCTAGCCAACATCCGGTAATGTTTACATACGTCATACCCCACGTTGTGACGTAACGACGATAAGTGCGAAGGGTTACGGACGACGTAGTGGCGGCGAAAGCGCGGGCGCCACGCGCARGCGCCTTCTCAGAGCGTCATCGGGGGTGCCGCGCGCGTTCTGGCCGCCGAATTTCAGAGGGCGGMAAAATAGGGAGGAAAAAATATGGAAACTCGTGCGGGCCGCGAGAAAATTCACCCACGCTGTAAGTGGACACACGTGCGCGCCCCGGAAGCGGCAATCCCGTTACTTTGCGAGAAAATTTTTTAAATATATCTGGGCGTCATGCCCACGTACCTTGTTGGCGGCTTTTTTTGATATCTTCTCCTTGCGGCCGATACGAAACACCCTAGCCAACGTTTGTGCGAACTGCACTGGACGAGACCGGACGATGACTGCTGCGGCTGAAGTCTGTTTCTTCGTCTGCTGGTGTAAATGATGATGGTGATGGGTTAAATGATAGGCGGACGTCTTGGTATCCATTACGCGGTAAACGACACGGGCGGAGAGCGGCGAAACGAATTCAGCGTTGACGGCATCTCATCATGGCGTGACGACGTAATTCTCTCGGATACTGAATTAATTTAGATGTGATATGATTTAGTCGGTTATTAAGTTTTTTATTATTTTATTGATATTGAGTTACAATACACTGATCTAAATAAAATAAATAACGAGCTAAGGATGTATTGAAAATCACAAATTAAATAACCGAAGATGATTCACGCAAAAATCACGTTTTCGAACTGGAGTTTTTAATAATATTATAATATAATAGTTCCGATGATTGTAAATAATAAAATTTTTCTATCAACGAAATTTCACTAAATTCGAACGCTCRCGAACGATGGTATTCGAATACTGAATGTAGTAGACTGCCGTCTGCCGGTGGTCGCCTCCGATCGAGCTCAACGCACTCTCGGCGGCGTAGTCGTCGAAGGCTATGTTGGGGGGGAGGCGGTGGGGGAGGGGCAAAAGTCCCCCACYGCCGCGGCGGCGCATACGGACCTGGCCGCGTTATACGCTCGTACACACGCGACAACGCGCGGATCGCGTTTGCCGCCGCGCGCCGATCGTATGGAATACTGTGGATCCTCCGTTCAAAGTACCCGCCAAAACGGTTATTCTCTTTTGTACGACGCGCATTCCGTTCTGTCCGTACGGTTTTTATTCGCTGTTTTGTTTCATTTCGTTCTTTTACGTTTATTTTTCCCTTCTTTGTATTTCTTGGTTACGCGTCGTCCTTCTTACTCTCCGGTAACAGGACACTAATCGAAAATTGTCTCAATCCTCAGACCGTTCGGAATTAAAAACAACTTCAGGCGGGAAAAAACCGAAATTATTTTTCTCCTCCCGTTCTACAGTGGTCAAGGGTGTGATGAATCGACACGAYTTATGAATGAAAAATAAGTTTAAAAGACAACTTGATGCGTGCGCCACTTTTTCCGCACCACCGATGACTTGCCGAGCGGAATTTATGAACGTTTTTTTTCTTTTTCAGATCACGCTTATTTATTTATACATTTTTCCTTCTCGTCTTACCATCACGTGCCTTTTAACCAACATAATTTAATATTTTAACGTTATCCAAAACTTACCTAACATTGTTCCGAAAAATGTTTTTACTGCATAATGTTATGCAGGAAGRCGGAAATGTGTACCCGTATCGTGATATACTTCATAATATTAATAAATTATAAAAATACTATGTGGAACATTTTGGCTATAAGTTATTATTACTTATCAGTTATGACCATTGATTAAGTGTACTTATCGATAAAAAGTAGGTATAACTCGTATAAGATACGTACCTATAGTAGGTATTGATGCTATCAATTAAAATACCTACCTATAATATTACAGATAACACGATGAAAACCCGGTTCTTTAAATATGTCTGATTGAAATGAATGATATTCGAAATGAATGAATGCTTATGCTAGTGATTGCATTGAACTATACCTTCCAGAAGGTCGTAAAATATTGCAATGTTGTGAAAGTATTAGTCATAGATCATAGAATACTAACTTCAAACAAAATTTGTTTTGAGAGAGAACCTTAAACATGGAATTAAATACAATATTATACTATATACCAATCACTTAAAAGTTAAATTATATTTGTTTAATATTTTTAAGATTATTTTATAATGATAATAACGTATGCAGTGTAATAATACTGTATAACAATTAGGTAATGTGGAAGTATATTTTTTAAAAACGCGTTTCCACAGACAGCCATAAATTTAGAAATCAAAAACTTTTTTTTATAATAACCATAATTAAATTCCCGTAAGCACTTTGCTTTAAAAGATATTTAAGATTTTAAAATAAGAATTCATGGACATCATCATATTTGATATTTTTATTTATTTTACTAGTTTCAAACTACGATACCTCAACAATTATAATATATGACAAGAAAATCGTACGACTTATACCATCATTTACGTCGTTTAATTTCTAACAAATTAATATAATACTATGATCTACGAAACGTAATGGCCAAGGGAGTTTTGGGCGACTATACGATAGAGCGATAGACGAAAGTATTAAACTATGTCCCACCCCAGAACCAATTCCAAATTACGGCACTGTGTACGTAATATCCGTTTGTCAAACGAGATTCGTCGCAAACAAAAACACATTGGCCACTACTAATTATCGTGTATTCATGGGTACCCGGGCGAGTTTGTATGCAACATGGAGTATTATTTTTATTATTATTATATTCGTCGGAGAGTAGTAACAATATAATTCACGGACACACGAATTGCCGAAGGTCGTCAGTTGCTGCCACCACTACAACCACCTCCGTGACTTGTTGATTTTTGACACAAACGTTTTGGCGATTTTGCAGCCACCGCCCGGTGAGATTTTCCGCGAATACAATTCTCGACGAAAATATGTATAATGCGGCGCACATGGATTCTAAAAACCGAAGGAACCGACTGCCGCATGGGGTGTGACTGTGTACCCGACAATATCACACGCCAATCGTGTATAATAGCGGCGATCTCCTAAGGTTTCCTCGTCAAACAGTCCATTTCAAACAAAACACGCGGATACCGTATAGTACAGAACTACAGAATACAGATACTATAACAATACAATATATACCTATGCTGTAATACATTAACACAATAATTGTAGCCGTTCAGCCCTAACYATCACCCACCCCACGACAGTACTAAAGCCACTGAACTACCGAAGCCATCCAATCGTTTTTCAATTAATTTTGTCTAAGTGCAGTACAACTGAAATTGTAAATTGTTTCGTTTACACCTCGATATACTGATGAATTTTTTTATGTATTATTAACTATCCGGTGATTTCGTTATAAAAGTTCTACCATCCGGGGCGGTTTTCCAGTACGAGACTCCCGCACCACGTGTCTGAGTCACTGGCAACGCGACGGCGGTGTGCTATTGCGGAGTGTGACTCACAGAGCTATAGGCTGATGACCTCGGCGGCGGCGGCGGCGCCTGTACACATCACATATAACGCGCGTATACGACGTTTCACGTGTATTGTAAGTGTATATATATATATCATCTATATATATGTATATACTTAAAAACAAAAAACGCATTATATAGGTATTATTACGATCAAGCCACTGTTGCGGGTTGGTGGTGATGTGTGTGTGTGTGTAATCTGCAGACTGCACGCACGGCACACCGGCCCAGACGGTCCGCCTCGCACACATTCGTGATGTAAAAACGTCGCGGCCGCAGACTCTCGTCCATTGTTTTGCGTACGGCGGCGGTGTCCGACTTTCTATGAGGAATTTCCGCTCTTATAACACTGAGGAATGCGAAATAATACAACCACACACTCTCTCACTCGGTGTCTGTCTGTCTGTATGTTCTCTCTCTCTATCTTTATAACAGTCTCTCTCTCTCTCTCTCTTGTCGTCTCGTTTTTCTGTGCAAACAGCGGCGTGAACGGACAAGAATGTGCGGCGATCCCGACTCCCGAGTGAATGAAAACGCGCGCACAGCATTCTCGTMGTCGTAGTCGTCCCGAAAGGGCACACGCGGCGGCGGCCCGACTGATTTGTAATACGGTACGCATCGTATAATGGGAGGGGTGGAGGGTGGCGGAACCTTCCTAGGGTCGTTGCACTCTTAACTCGGAGGGGTTTAGCGTCTCTCTATACACGAATAAAATAACGTGTTGTATACGTATTATAAGTATACATTGCGGGCCGAGAGAAAAAGTGAAAAAAGGGGGCGCGCACCCTGTTCACGCGGTCTTAATGATAAATGGTCGTTGGCGCGATAATTTCTCGTACCATCTAAGCTGATCACATGAGGTTTTCTCGGAACGGGGGCGGGTTATCACATACAGCTCTACGGCAGTATGTTACATATATTACTACTGTGTAATTATTTATTTTGTTTTTAGTTTTCCACAACCCGCTAAGTTGTGGTATTGCCACAATTGGTTGAAGCCATGGTTGCAGTTTTGCTACGAGTATCACCATCCGAAAATCGATTTAAACCATAAATAATTWATAAAGAAACAGCCACTATAAATACCGCGATGATCAAACCTAAAATCTAGTACCTACGGAAAATCGTCGATTTCAAACACCGAATCTCAAAACATTTAAAACAATATTTGGTTCAACTGTTCAACATAGATTTAAATATTATTTATATACATAATATTGTTTTGCGTAAGWTCATTGGCACGAACTAATGATTAATATTAACACACTCGCACAGTAAGCCATAATGTTAATACATATAATTTTATACTTTACAACAATAATAATAATATATCGTTTTACTTTTCGGATAGTTCTTACCACACGTGAACATGTCCACAAAGTTTATTTAAATAGCTGTTTATAATAAACTAAACTTGATGAATTATATTCCTCAAAAATATTAAACATCAACAACTTTCGATAAACGGGCAAGCGTCTTATTGGTATGCCATAAAAGTTATAACGGCAGTAAAAACTAATAAGTTTTTTATAAAAATGACAAAAATAGTAAAAAGTTTTCTTACAATAATTTATCAAGCCATTTGTGAAGTATTATTTACTTATATTATACATTATATAGACGCTATTAATAAATGATAAAACATTAAAACAATAAAAAAAATACCTTATACACCTACCGGCTACCAAAGGATTTTTGAAATATTACTAAACAGAAAAATATGAATAAATATAATGAAATAACTAATACCTACTACAGAATTACAAACACTCAATGTATATAATTTATTATGAGTTACCGCTGTGTGAACAAATCTAATTGACAAACTTGGCGTTTCGTGGTGAAGAGATGTGGGCCATATGGCTCTAATCTGTTTAATACAGAAATATTATATTATTATTTATTATTTTATGCACAAGCAGGATATCGGAACGTTCGACTAACATCATTGTTAATGTATTACAATGTAGTACACTACATTATGTCCTAGTTCATAGTTAGTAGATACGGAAATCACCCCGTCATCTGTGATACTTTTTTAAAAATATTTCGTGGATCTGGAACAGCCATAGGACATAGGTTATAACTTATAACCACATTCAATATAAATATTTTATTTCCAGAATAAACTAAATATGTATGCATCGATTTTAGAATACGATAAACGCGTGATACAAATATACGTCTCAATTAATTAGAGCATATCTACACTACGACTTTCTAAAAGTTCGACAACAATAACGTCATGATGTGTTMGGTGGCGGGTGGAAGATATTTAATAAAATTAAAATGTTGCTACGCATATGATTGAAAACCGTTCTATTTCTAGATTAAACAAAATCAAAAGACTTTGCCGACACTTACAGTATGGATTTTGTATTTTTTTTTAACCAGTAGAGTTAA